CGTCGTCCGATGCGAAAGTTTCTGTCGCGGGGCGAACGCGACGCCTGAAACGACGAGACGGAAAAGGATCACTGCGGTCGTGTCAGGCAATTTAAGCGGCCCCTTGTCTTTCGAGCAACGAAGTGTCCTTATCTCGGTCGGTGCGTTTGCAAACTGTCCGGTAGCCGGGCGGCGAGCCGACGGTTTATCGGAAACCGATTACAGAGGCTGTTTCGCGAGAAATTTTATAGCCGCCTCGAGACGATAAATCGCCGGCTGTGTCGGCTCGTTCGAGACTCGGCTCGAACAACGCGGCTCCTTCGAGGACACGCGCAATTACATGTTTGTTCATTCGCGAGGCCAGTGTTCACGGGGAAATAAGTTACGCTGGGGTTCGAGTGGGGTACGCGACATCACTTATTTATTTATTTATTTATTCATTCATTGAATATGTACGTGAAGTTATAAAATCTTCGGTTACAAAATCGCAAAAAGTAAAAATAAAAAATACAGTCATCCGCAGCTATGCGTCCACCCGGTAGACTTGCCGGGCCGCTGCGCGGGACTCGCGGCGCGCTCGTCGCCTATCCCCACTCCTGGCGTAACTTATTCCCCTGGGAACACCGGTCGGGACCTTCCGAGCGCGGAAATCCGAGCTGATCCGATCCGTTATTTCGTATAAAACCGGAGCCCGGAAACGCGGCCCGGGAAAATTGAAACCGAGGAAACAATGACCGTTTCTATATCCCACGGTTGACGCGCCCCGTTTTTAAGGGGAATGAAAATACGGTTACGCGGACAACGGAGGAAATTGATGGCCGGCGTCGTGGATGCACGCGGGCGAATCTCGCCGCGGAAAATGGAAAAAGTCGATCCTCTTGGCAACAATGGGCCCCAGCGCCGTCTTTCAAACCGTCCCGGTCGCAACGCCGTCCCCGGTTATTTACGAATTTTATTTCGCGTCGCCATAATTCTCTTCCTAACTATTGCCGAATACGCTTCTCGATGGGGAGAACGGCGCAAGAAACGATCGGCATGTACGGCGAACAGAGTTTCGTCGATTAATGTTCGCGCTGGGACGACGATTGTCCATTCAGCGTCTTCGACAACGTCTGCGTCAAATTCGTTTCGACGTCAACGTAATTCGTTTCGTCAATTCTTGTGCAAATTCTTGTGACCAATCATTTGTTTGGTCACGTATGCGAAAAGAAATTTCCAATCGAAGCACTAGCAACAGGATAAATTAAGCCGATCACGTTCCGCGATCCTATATACAGTAATGTCAAGGTTATGTCAAGGTTAATGTCTCTCTAATTGACTAATTTGGAAAGAGAAGATACGATTATGCGAGTCTTGCGGCTCGTTTTTATAGTTGCGAATTGTCAACAATTGTAAAACGAGCCGCAAGGCTCGAATAATTGTATCTCCTCTTCCAAAATTGTCCATTTTTCTGCACAGTCTGAGCGTCAGTTAGGGAGACATTACTGTACAGGATACCCCATAATTATGTTACGGATGCATTCCTCGGGTTATTTGGAGTAACTTTTTCCTTAGCGAAAATCCAATCCGCGGCTTCGTTCACGAGTTATTAACAGAAAACGCTGACCAATCGGAGAGCGAGTGCGACTGTCGCACCGCCCTCGCGGCCAATGCTTCGTCGCGTCGGCCGTTTGACGCAGCGGCAGTGGTCGCGTGGGCGGAGCGTCAGCTGCATGCGATCTCTCATTGGTCACCGTTTTTCGTTAATAACTCGTAAACAAAGCCGCGGATTGCATTTTCGCTGAGGAAAAAGTTACTTCAAATAATCTCAGGAACCTCTCATTTCCCGGAAGTACCATAATTTTGGGACACTCTGTATATTAGAATATATTAGTATATATTATTATTATATTATTATTATATAGAATATATTAGTATATATATTATTATATATTAATACATATTATTATATATTTATTATTATATATTCGTACATAGTATAATATAATATATATTAGTATAGTCAGTCGCCGCGTTTAGTGCTCCATAGTTTTAGCGTTAAACGTAACAAACCTCTTTCAACGTTACACTATTGCACACCATTTTATTCAGGAGTGTTTACAAAATCATGCTACACAAGAATCATCCCCACGGTTTTAACGATCGAGCCGGGAAAATTCTTAAACATTGCGACAGTAAATTCTCCCTAATTTTTTCTTCAATTTTTGTAAACGAAAATTGACAATTTCGGAAGAAGAGATCGAGTCTCGCGGCTCATTTTTACATTTGCCAATTGTCGTCGCAATTATAAAAACGAGGCGCAAGGATCGATTGATCGTCCTCTACCCGAATCGTCCATTTTCGTTCGCGAGCTGAAGGAAAATTAGGGAGAATTTAGCGTAGAGTGGCGTCATTCGAGCGCAATGAACGCGGCAAAATCGGTCATTTAAAATGGCGGCTGGCCGATTCGGTGCCGGGATCGCTATCGCGAGCGACGCGTCCTCCGTTTCCACCCTTTGATCGCGGCCCGAAAATATCATTAACGAAATTTGACGCGGCACCGGCAAATCCAGCGGACGACGGGCCAAAGCGACGGAACGAAGCGCTCTATCTCTCTCGCGCTCTTACTCTCTCTCTCTCTCTCTCTCTCTCTTTGTCTCTCTCGCGCTCTCACTCTCTCTCGCTCTATCTCTCTCGCGCTCTTACTCTCTCTCTCTCTCTTTGTCTCTCTCGCGGTCTCACTCTCGCTCTCTCACTCTCGCGCTGTGTCTCCCTTGCACTCTCACTCTCTCTCTCGCTCTATCTCCCTCGCGCTCTTACTCTCTCGCGGTCTGTCTCTCTCGCGGTCTCACTCTTGCGCTCTGTCTCCCTCGCGCTCTCTCTCTCTCTCTCTCTCTCTCTCTTGCTCTGTCTATCTCGCGCTCTCACTCTCTCTCTTTCTATCTCTCTCGCGCTCTTACTCTCTCGCTTTGCCTCTCTCTCTCTCTCTCTCTCTCTCTCTCTCTGTCCCGGTGCAATTTGACTTGTTGATTTAATCCGGCCGGCGAAATTTTATGATTTTCATCGCGCAAAAGCCCAGTTAGGTCTATCGTCGGGCCACCGCTCGATAACGATCCGCCGGTCGTTCGGCCGAAAATTCGCGCGTCGGCCGGCCGGCCGGCCAAAAATCCGAAAACTTCGGCGAAAGTGAAATAATGGAATGATGATAGGCTTTGATTGCGCAGAGTATCACCCCGGCAGAGTATCACCATCCGACTCGTTTCGAAAAGGGGTTCTCTCCTCCGCGCCGAAACGATCCGGCGATCGAAATAGTCCGGCGATTTGCAGGCTTGCCGGTTTCCATCGAAATCCCGGCATTTTTTCGGTTTCAAAAATGGTCTTTCCAGGTTCCCAGGATTCCGAACGGGAGCTGTCTTTACGAGCGCCGCGCGCCGATTGAAACGAATCAACTCTCGCGGAAACCGGTGATTATGCCGCGCGGATTTGACGCGTTCAGCGCCGGAACGGTGACAGTCGATAGCAAGATTAAAGCGTCGCCAATTTTTTGATGATAAATGGTCGATCTTCGTATAACTGTGACCCCGTTAAAAGCTGTCGCAAAATGATGTCTCTTCTTGGCAATTGAAGCTTGAAATCTCTGTTTTACGATGTAATAAAAAAGGATATACATACACAGGATGTGTCTCGGAATTATATTAATATAATTATATATACTACTACTACTATTTATTACTATATTCCTGAGGTCATTTGAAGTAACTTTTTCCTTGGCGAAAATGCAATCCGCGGCTTCGTTTACGAGATATTAACGCAATCTTTATGATGGTTTTTTTTATGTAATGTCATTTCATTTTACGTTTCGTTAATTCGTTCAGGAGAGAAACCCTTTAGTAGAAGAGAAGGTAATCACGCGGGAAGAACAAAATAAAAATTATACAAATGAAAATATTATCGCTTGTAAATAGACTGCGGATTTTATGCATTTCTGCATTATGTTCAGCTCATTAAAATTATTAAGGAATAAAATTAATGTTTATGCAGTAAATCCTGCAGCTAGCAGTGGACGCAGATAATTTTTAATTTGCACAAAAATCCGCGGTCCAGTTGTAAATGTTATACAGGGTGTCCCTAAAATGTCTCGCAATCCGAAAGTGGCGGGTTCCTCAGTTCATTTGTTGTCTCTTATACACATCTAGATGTGTATAAGAGACAGGCTTCTTCCTTTACAAAAATTTTCTCCGAGGCACCATTAACGAGTTATTAACGAAAAACAGTAACCAATGTAAGGCGAGCTCAGCTGGCACGAGGCGACCGAGCCAATGAGCGGAACTGGGCTTCGTGCGCTGGTTGGCCAGGCCGCCTCGCGTCAGCCGTCCTCGATTCTGATTGGTCACTGCTTTTCGTTAATAACTCGTTAACGGTGCCTCGGAGAAAATTTTTGTAAAGGAAGAAGCTGCTTCAAATGATCCGAGGAACCCGCCATTTCCGTATTGCGAGACATTTTTGGGACACTCTGTATATTTTATGGCCAACTTATTGTTGTAACTAATGGGTAATTTTCCACGTACATATTCGATAAATAAATAAATAGAAAAATAAGTTCAATATGTTTCATTCGATATAAATATAAAGTTAACTATGCTCGGAAACAAATCAGGGGCACAGCGATTGGTCGCAGCGCAGTAACCGGCTCCACTGTTCCACAGGATCAAACGCTTCTGCGACAAGAAATACAGTGTTGTCGTGATCGATACGATCGACATGTTGGATATTCGTCGCCGAAGGATTAAACGATGTAGCACGGAATAAAAAACCGTGCGATCAAAACTAAGATATCACGGCGGTGATCGAATGCGGCTACGATTCCACGTGTACGTGGAATCGACTGTACGTGTGTATTAGTCGATTGGCAACAGAGTGCGTGTTCGAGGGCTGACGCGTTTTACGGGGCCCCGAAGAACCGCCGGGCCGCGGCGGATTAAATTTTATTGCAGCGAAAGAAATACAGGGCTGTTTCATTGCGCGAAATAAAAGTCCCGGGTATGAACGGTACATTCATATTAGAGGTAAGCGCGGGGGTGGGTCCCGGGGCGGAGGAGACGCGACGAACAAAAACCCGGGTGGAAAAAAAGAGGAGGAGGAGGAGGAGGAGGGAGAAAAAGCAGCGAGGAGAAAATGTGTGGCGCGTGCTCGGCTAGCCCCATCGACGTTTATCGAGCGCGGGATTAAGCGGCGCAATGACACTTTCAAAAAAAAGCCCCGGCTATTCGCGGTCACAGGCTTTTACAATAAATATCCGAATTATCGATCGGCCGGTTGTAAATTAACCCGGCTCGCCGGACTGGCACGCCCATCGGGGTGCAACAGCTACAACGACAACGAGGACAAAGGGGAACAACAACGGCAACGACACGATCGCGACAAAGCAAGGACAACGACAACAAAAACAAGGAGAACAACAACGACACAATCATGACGACGACAAGGACAACGACAACAGAAACAAGGAGAACAACAACGACACAATCATGACGACGACAAGGACAACGACAACAAAAACAAGGAGAACAACAACGACACAATCATGACGACGACAAGGACGATGACAACAACGTCGGCAAGGACAATGACAAGAAGAACAATGAGAACAACAACGACAACTAGGTTGATGACAATGACGACGGCGACAACGACGACAAGGACGATGCCAACAACAACGTCAACAAGGACAATGACAACGACAACAAGAACAAGAAGAACAACAACGACAACGACACAATCACGACGATAACAAGGACAATGACAACGACAACGTCAATAAGAATGATGACCACGACAACGACAACATCAACAAGGACAACGATGCCAACAACAAGACAACGACAACAGAAACAAGAAGAAAAATAACGACAACAAGAACAACGACGAGGACAACGACAACAAGAACAATGACAAGGACAACGATAACGACAACAAAGACGATGACAATGACAACAAGGACAACGACAAGTACAACGACGACAAAGACGATGACAATGACAACAAGAACAACGACAAGTACAACGACAACAAAGACGATGACGATGACAACAAGAACAACGACGACAACGACAACAAAGACGATGACGATGACAACAAGAACAACGACGACAACGACAACAAAGACGATGACGATGACAACAAGAACAACGACGACAACGACAACAAAGACGATGACGATGACAACAAGAACAACGACGACAACGACAACAAAGACGATGACGATGACAACAAGAACAACGACGACAACGACAACAAAGACGATGACGATGACAACAAGAACAACGACGACAACGACAACAAAGACGATGACGATGACAACAAGAACAACGACGACAACGACAACAAAGACGATGACGATGACAACAAGAACAACGACGACAACGACAACAAAGACGATGACGATGACAACAAGAACAACGACGACAACGACAACAAAGACGATGACGATGACAACAAGAACAACGACGACAACGACAACAAAGACGATGACGATGACAACAAGAACAACGACGACAACGACAACAAAGACGATGACGATGACAACAAGAACAACGACGACAACGACAACAAAGACGATGACGATGACAACAAGAACAACGACGACAACGACAACAAAGACGATGACGATGACAACAAGAACAACGACGACAACGACAACAAAGACGATGACGATGACAACAAGAACAACGACGACAACGACAACAAAGACGATGACGATGACAACAAGAACAACGACGACAACGACAACAAAGACGATGACGATGACAACAAGAACAACGACGACAACGACAACAAAGACGATGACGATGACAACAAGAACAACGACGACAACGACAACAAAGACGATGACGATGACAACAAGAACAACGACGACAACGACAACAAAGACGATGACGATGACAACAAGAACAACGACGACAACGACAACAAAGACGATGACGATGACAACAAGAACAACGACGACAACGACAACAAAGACGATGACGATGACAACAAGAACAACGACGACAACGACAACAAAGACGATGACGATGACAACAAGAACAACGACGACAACGACAACAAAGACGATGACGATGACAACAAGAACAACGACGACAACGACAACAAAGACGATGACGATGACAACAAGAACAACGACGACAACGACAACAAAGACGATGACGATGACAACAAGAACAACGACGACAACGACAACAAAGACGATGACGATGACAACAAGAACAACGACGACAACGACAACAAAGACGATGACGATGACAACAAGAACAACGACGACAACGACAACAAAGACGATGACGATGACAACAAGAACAACGACGACAACGACAACAAAGACGATGACGATGACAACAAGAACAACGACGACAACGACAACAAAGACGATGACGATGACAACAAGAACAACGACGACAACGACAACAAAGACGATGACGATGACAACAAGAACAACGACAACGACACAATCACGACGACAACAAGGACAATGACAACGACAACGTTAATCAGAATGATGACCATGACAACGACAACATCAACAAGGACAACGACAAGTACAACGACGACAAAGACGATGACAATGACAACAAGAACAACGACAAGTACAACGACAACAAAGACAATGTCAATGACAACAAGAACAACGACAAGTACGACAACAAGAACAATGAGAACAACAACGACAACAACAAGGACAACAACAACGACACGAAGCCAGAAGAGGAGAGATTCGCGCAATAGATGCCGAAGAATGGTGGCGACCGTGTTCGCAGGTTTTTCAGCTGCTTTGTGCGTGAGACAGGACCCTATCAGGGTCTAGCACCCTTGTCCCTGCGCGGCCGCCCGCTCCTGAACGAATGAATAGCGTTTCAGGGAGCCGTAAGAACTTGGGGACGCTCGAGGACAATGTCGCGCCCATCTCGATGACGTCATCCGTGATCAACGGGGCTGCGAGTCCTCGAAACAGTCTGCCTCGAAATTTCTTTGTGCCGAGCCCTCTCGCCTGTCCTGCCCTTACCCTATCTGCGATCTGAATCAGCTTCCCGATTTTTGAGGGAGCTCCGACAAACGATTTAACGCCTCGTCGTTTGTAAACGTAGAAGTTCATAATCTGTGCGAACATTTTGAAAAAGAATCTGATCAAGACGATAGATACCGACGAACGTTGAGAAACCTTAGATTAAATCGTTAACGTTCAATTAAAATTTGGCAGTTCAGCAAATACGGATATCTAAATTGAAAATACATAATACAGCGCGAAGCTGTAAAATAACACGTTGTTTGCGTTGCAATATTGTTTTATTCGGTGCGAACGATGAAGAGGGAAATAGACAAAAAAAAGCTAACAAAAAGTTAAAAGGAAAATATTGTAGAACAAGTGAAAATTAAAATTGAAATGAAAAGTGAGATTAATATTAAATTAGAAACGAAAGAGTTGTGAAAAAAGTAAGATCAATATTTTCGTTGGCGCGATAGAAATGTCAAAAAGGTTTGCTGCACCAAATATAGAATATTAGGTGCAGGAAACATAATATAATATATAGTGTAGAATATGGTTCCAATAATGATCTCCATATTGATTATCCATATTGATTATAGCAATTTCTATATTGCTATTATGTTTATTTCTGTACATAGAAATAAATATAAAATATTATAGGAATAATATTGAAATAAACATAATATAATATAATAGTGTAGAATATGGTTCCAATAATGATTTCCATATTGATTATCCATATTGATTATAGCAATTTCTATATTGCTATTATGTTTATTTCTGTACATAGAAATAAATATAAAATATTATAGGAATAATATTGAAATAAACATAATATAATATAATAGTGTAGAATATGGTTCCAATAATGATTTCCATATTGATTATCCATATTGATTACAGCCATTTCTATATTGCTGTTATGTTTATGTCTATACATAGAAATAAATATAATATATTATAGAAATAATATAGAAATAAACATAATATAATATATAGTGTAGAATATGGTTCCAATATGATCTCCATATTGATTATCCATATTGATTACAGCAATATAGAGAGAAATAAACATAATATAATATAATATAGTGTAGAAAATATATTATAATATTTATATATATATATATATATATATATATATATATATATATTTAAATATAATATAATATAATATAGTGTAGAATATGGTTCCAATAGCGATTTCTGACGATCACGTTAGAATGAAAATAACAGCGAGCACGCGAAGAGTGACAACACCCCTAAGCGAGTCAGACCATTGAGCTCCGCGACAGGGCTAGAATTAAACCCGTCGGTATATTTGAATAGGTTAACGGCTCCGACTTTGTACAGTTTTAATGGTTATTGGTTTAACGCCGACTATTTCCGCGCGCCCGTTAATGGACGTTGGATATGCATAAGGATGTGACATTTTCTCTCTTCACGGTTTAATGACTTCTCGAGACCGGAAGACAGCGGGCACGAATTGAAACACGAAGTGAACATCGGCGAGATTTCGAATAAGAATCGCTCTGAATCGCGTCAGCAATGCTCGAGAATATTTACGCGAGGGAACTGATTCAACTTGGACATTTTCGTGGAGCTTTCGGCAAAGCTCGTGTTCGAATTTCGATTTATTATTTAACGGAATATCTTATTCGGGATCGTCCTGTCGGCTAAATCGTTCGTCCGAAATTACACGATTTAAATAGAAATAACTGTTCTACTTCGGACGATTTACATGTGTAAATCGGTCAAACAAACACTAACAATTCAACGAAGAAATTTTTTGTTCCGGCAATTTGGAAAAATAACGTGGGAGAAATGAGTCGATGAATTTTGTTATCGTTTTTATTTAAATCGATTGATTACGAATTCCTGCGAATTCCTGCGCGATTAAACTGCTATTCGAATAAAAATCTTATCTCGATAAATTTTTATTCTATCGAATAATTATCGGACAGCGTCGAATGAAATTTTATTCAAATATATTTGTATCCCGTTAAATATTTACTCGATGGCGCGGAATATAATTTTACTTGAATAAATTTGTGTCCCATTCGATATTTACTCGATCGCATCGAATAAATTTGTGTCCCATTCAATATTTATTCGATAGCGCCGAATGAAATTTTACTCGAATAAATTTGTGTCCCATTCAATATTTACTCGATCGCGTCGAATAAAATTTTACTCGAATAAATTTGTGTCCCATTCAATATTTATTCGATAGCGTCGAATAAAAATATATTAGAATAAATTTCTATCCCATTCAATATTTACTCGATCGCGTCGAATGAAATTTTACTCAAATAAATTTGTGTCCCATTCAATATTTACTCGATCGCATCGAATAAATTTGTGTCCCATTCAATATTTATTCGATAGCGCCGAATGAAATTTTACTCGAATAAATTTGTGTCCTATTCAATATTTACTTGATCGCGTCGAATAAAAATATATTCGAATAAATTTCTGTCCCATTCAATATTTACTCGATCGCATCGAATAAAATTTTACTCGAATAAATTTGTGTCCCATTCAATATTTATTCGATAGCGCCGAATAAAAATATATTCGAATAAATTTCTATCCCATTCAATATTTACTCGATCGCGTCGAATAAAATTTTACTCGAATAAATTTGTGTCCCATTCAATATTTATTCGATAGCGCCGAATAAAAATATATTCGAATAAATTTCTATCCCATTCAATATTTACTCGATCGCGTCGAATAAAATTTTACTCGAATAAATTTGTGTCCCATTCAATATTTATTCGATAGCGCCGAATAAAAATATATTCGAATAAATTTCTACCCCATCCAATATTTACTCGACAGTGTCGAGCAAAATTGTGTTTGTAACTTTACCCAACTCTGCCCGACAGCAGATTACATTATTTTAAACTGCAGAAAGTACACCGCAAATCGATTAGAACAATAAAAAAAAACGCGTCCTGAAAGATAATTCAATGGACAAGAACACGACGCAGAACGTGCTAGGAAATTAAAAAGATTAAATAACGAATGAAAAAAAAACACGAAAGAGAAGAGAAAGTATTTTCTATCCAGTTTCCGGAGTTATCTAATAAAAGATGCGTTCACGAAGCTCGGGGGGTCGTTTTAAAACTGTACGCTGAACATCGTTCTAATTACTTTTCTTGCGCGGATAGAACACGTTGCCAGCGAGGTCCGATATCTTCGAAGCAGAAGCAGAAGAAGAAGATGAAGAAGAAGCAGAAGAAGAAGCAGAAGCAGAAGAAGAAGCAGAAGCAGAAGAAGAAGACGATGGAAAAGAGAGCGTCCTTTACGGGCCGAGTTTTCGCCAGGATAAGTATGTAACTTTCTAATTGATCGGCGACTTCAAAGCGCCTTTAACAATTACTTACACCGTTCGCCGATAATTTAGTAATATCGTAGACTGGCGAGGAGGCCGTCTCGGCCTCGGAGCGTCGCGCGATCCATCGTGAACGACGTTAATAAAGGCGTTGTTCGATAAACGGCGAAGCAGAAAATAGAATTAAGGCGCAATCTTTATAGCCGTCGCTCCGCGCGGGGGGGAGGGGCTCCAATCGAATTTCAGGGCTCCCTTCGCTGCCCCTCTCTCGCTCTCTCTCTCTCTCTCTCTCTCTCTCTCTCTCTCTCTCTCTCTGCCCCCGACCGTCGAAGTAACGACGTTACTCGATCACAGAATTGGTAGCAATCAGAGGACTTTAATGACGTTAACGAGGCTATTAGATAACCGGCTCTCCGCTGAAAAATCCCCCTTTGTGCCTGTCGACCGGCAAACAGACAGACATTCGACTCGCGTAATCGACAGCCGGCCGGCCAGGAAAAACGTTCGCCCGCTCGGCCGGAAAATGAAATCGAGTTCTACCGTCGTGGGCCCCCTTCAAAGAAGACGCGAGCCCAGATTCCTCGAGTGTCGCTTCAATCGAATCTCTTCGGCTCCGTGCGACACAGACGTATGCGATACAGCTGCTCCTCCTTCTTCTTTCTTATTCTACTTCTTCTTCGCCTTCTTCTTCTTCGTCGTCGTCGTCGTCGTCGTCGTTGTCGTCGGCTGCCATCCGGAAACGGAAATATCTGGCCATACCTCGAGGAATATTCTTTGAAGTCGCTGCAGATGCGCGCGGCCATCGATCGCGATGTTTATTACGCGGGATCAGCGGGGCCCTACCGCGCGCAGGAACAGATTTTTACAGACAAGTAGGTTCGCTACCGTAACGCATTACTCTCGCGAAAGTAACGCGTTGCAACCGCGTTGCAACCGTTCCACCCGCGCGCCTCTCTCTCTCTCTCTCTCTCTCTCTCGCGATCGTTTCTCTTCGGCCGCGAACAAAATGGATCGGCCCGACGGAGTTCCGCTTCGAATTTGCCCCGGCGCGCGGCGTTTTCATTTCGCAGACGCGAGCAGCAATCTGCTTGAATCGCCGTATTACGTCGCTGCGGAAATTATTGGCAGGCTTGTATCGAGCTTGCGATATCGTCGGAGAGATTATTTCTCCTTCGGATTCGCTTCTTCGGACGGGAGAGCTGTTCTATTTATGTTTTTCCTGCTGCGATGTTGTTGATTGACTTCGTCGAATATTCGATTAAATGATTACTTGAAACGACATTGTTGCTTGTGCATTATTTCGTGCACAATTTAAATTGCTATGCTACCTGGGACATTGTTTAATGTTTTCTATACTGTGGACTAAAAATTATTACATAAATTCTGCTGTAAGAAATATCG